TTTCCCCTCCTTGGTCGATTTACTTCATGGCGGGTCCCTATGCTAGTGAATGGTTGCCTTTGTGGCACAGTATGGTGTCTTCTCATGGGGGCTGATTTGGAGGCCGTGGGGTGTTTTGTCCCTGTCTGTCCACGTTCCCCCTGTGTTGAAGGTGTGAGGGTGTTCCTGAGACCAGCCCAACATCTTTACTAAACCTGGCCCACATAGCGTTCCCTGAGGTTTGCAGCTCTTCCCGGAGGTCACTGGGCGCAACCATGTGGAAACAAGGGAGTCGGCTGCCAAGGAAAGTCTACAGTTTTATGCGCAGGATATGGTGTGTGGTGTCGGGGTCATTTTGTCCAGCCGCCCGCTTGTGCTGCCAGCCTTTTTTCTCCAGTGTGGCTGGCCTCACGCCAGACCAGTTATGCAGGTTCAAGTGTCCAGGCTGTTGGCTGGTTCTCTCATTTCACCCCTGTGTGTGACCTGTTGCTTCTGGAGGACGTGGGTCTCACATCTTCTCCAAGGTGTTTTCACTGACGGGTCCATAGTGTGAAAGTGCAAGGCACCACAGCAACAAGGGTTTGCCCTGGTAATTTGGGCCTCTGAATGGCTCCTATGCCATTAGCTTTGCCTGTTGTCCAAGGGAAGCTCCTCTGGCTTGTCAGGAGGCCTGGAACTATGCTTGCTCTTGAGTCCCCCTTGGTCAGTCCAGGGGTTCCTTAGGTGCCCTTTGTCATGGGTCACTATGAGCCGCTTTTAATGGAGGTCATCACATTAGGCTCAAGGCCGTTCCCTTATGGAATATCTCAGGGCCGACATTTCCCATTCAGGGCGAGTCCATTAAGTGAAAACCTATATGCCAAGAGTGGGTTTGTTCTCTTGGAGGGCAGTGGCTCTTAGGCTGAGGGATCCCATTTCCCCTGAGGTTTTCTGGGGCGTTCAAGATGACATCCATTTGCTGTGTCAGTGTGGAGGTCACTCACGAGGGGAATTGCAGTGCCGTACTGGGGGTTAATGGATGGCAGCACTCATTGTGCTAATGGCCGCACATTCTGAAGGTGTCTGCACCACGATGCATTCACGATTGGCTGCAGACACACAGGCAAGATGGGCAGCAAATTTAATGTTGAGGTGAGAAAGAGTGCACATCACTGGGTGGTATCGCCCTTTCCCTCTGTGCACCCGTGCACCATCCTCAAAAGTGCATGTGTTCTTTTACCTCAAGCCAGGTGGAGTGCCAGGGAATGAATGCCAGCAGCAGCATGGCACCCTCCGTATAGTCCGTGATACCCAGTGAAGTGAGGACAGTGCGGCAAGGTGATGCAAGGTGAAGGAGTCTTGGAGGGCTGTTGGCGTGAAGTCCTTGAGGTTCCTTATGGAAACCTTGTGGCAGTAAGCAGAACTTCTTTGCAGTAACGTAGATTTTTGGCCACAGGTACTTGTGCACCAAGACTACACCCTCACCTTCTTGGCTTTTCCAGGGGCACCCAAGCTCCAATGCCCCGACACTTGGGTGCACTTCCTTCCCCATGGCTCGGCTCTAGCCACTCCTGACTGCTGACATGATTGAGCTCACTGGCCCTCCCACGGTGGAGGCTGCAACTTTGCACATCCAGCCTTTGAGCAGGTGCTTGGATCAATGATGACTCCCATAAATGCATTCCCTGGAAATCTGAACAAAATGAGTGAGCAATCTCTACTGTCTCCTTATTGGAACTGAGGTCCAGCACGTGGCTCCCAAAAGAAAATTACAGAGAGGTTCACACTGCATTTGCGACCTTGGGCATCTGCAACCACGTTGTTCACATTGAGGGTGGTGGCCTCCTCATGAGGAAAGAGCCATTTGGAAATGAACAAGGGATGTCCATCCACATGGGAATGCTGGGGACGGCTTGATGACTCTGGACCCCTGAGTCTAGCCAGGTCTCCTGTCCCCTTCTGCGGTTCAGCATGCAGGTGGGTGTGGAAGTGTGAGCCATTGGTGGATCTCTGGCCTGCCATTGAGTTCTATAGGCCTCCCCTGCCCTCTGGTCATTGCCTCATGCCCTCAAGGAAACACAAGTCTCTGCAATCAGGGTCAGAGCAGGAGTCCTGTCCTAGGCCTGGTTTCTGTGTCATGTTCTGCTTTGGAGACAGGATGCAGTTTAGGTTTCTTCTGATGATGGGGAGAAATCAAATGGGCCACTGTTCCCCAGAGTCTGGCCAAGCCCTTGGCTCCTCCTCGGGTTGTGTCCCACTTGTGTGTTGTGTGTAGAGGGGCTGGAAAATGCCTTAGGCAATTCCCTGGGAAATCAAGCTTCTTTGGTGAGGGGTGGTCTGGCACCTTGCTGTGAGGCATTTGGATCCTGGTGGAGAGAGAAAGGCAAGGCGAGTGGGAAATACACGTGAGAGTGTTGGCTAAACCCACAGGTTTACTCATAGGTGGATAGATTGATGGTGGCCTTTAGGTTCCCAGAACTCCTTGGGATGCCTTCAGGCATATTTGCAGACACGTGTAGGAAAGGATTACGGGTACATGTTCATGGACAATCCCCCCCTTTTCCTCTCCTTTGTTGATTTGCTTCATGGCAGGTCACTGGTCCAGCGAATGGTTGCCTTCGCGGCACAGTATTGTGTCTTCTCGTGGGGGCCGATTTGGAGGCCGTGGGGTGTTTTGTCCGTGTCTTTCCACGTTCCCCCATGTGTTGAAGATACGAAGGTGTTCCTCAGGAGAGCCCAGCATCATTTCTATGCCCGGTCCACATAGCGTTCTCTGAGGTTTGGAGCTCTTCCTGGAGGTCATTTGGTGCAACCATGCACAAAACAAGGGAGTCGGTGGCCAAGGAAAGGCTACAGGTTTAAGGGCAGGAGAGGATGTGTGGTGCAGGTGTTAGTTTGTCCTGCCACTCGCTGGTGCAGCAACCCTATGGTCTCCAGCGTGCCTGGCCTCAGGCCAGAGAAGTCATGTCGTTTCAAGGGTCCTGGCTCATGGCTGGGTTCTCTCGTTGTGCAACTGTGGGTGACACATTGGTTCTGGAGGTCCAGGGTCTCACGCTTATTCCAAGGTCACTGATGGGCCTAGAGTCCGAAAGTGCATGGTGCTGCGGTCAGTTACCCAGTTGCTGCAAGGGTTTGACCCTCAACTTTGGGCATTGGAATTGCTCCGGTGCCATTAGCTTTGCGTGTGGTACAAGGGAAGGGCCTCTGGCTTGGCTGGAGACCAGGAAGCATGCCTGCTGGTGAGTCTCCCTTGGTCAGTCCAGGGGTTCCTCAGGTGCCCTTTGTCACAGGTCCCTTCGAGCCACTTTTAATGGAGGTCGTCGAATTCGGCCAAGGGCCCTTCCCTTGTGGAAGATTGCAGCGACCACGTTTCCCCTTGAAGGGGAGTGCAATGTGAGGAAGCGTATGTGCCAAGAGCAGGTGTGTTCCCCTGGTTGGCAGTGACTGTAAGTTGGTGGGGCCCCAGTTCCCCTGAGGGTGTCTCAGCAGTTCAGGATGACATCCTTATGCTGTGTCTGCGGGGAGGTCGCTCAGGAGGGGAATTGCAGGGCCTGTACCAGGGGGTTGATGGACAGCGGTGCTCTTTTTGCTGATGGCCACGTGCTCTGAAGCCGTCTGCCTCATGATGCATTCATGTTTGGCTGTGGGCACACAGACAAGCTGGGCAGCAAATGAAATGTTGAGGCAAGATAGAGCACACATCACTGGGTGGTACGCTCTGTCCCTCTGTGCACCCATGCACCATCCTCAACCGTGCGTGTGTTCTCTCACCCCGAGCCAGGTGGAGTGCCAGTTAATGAATGGCGGCAGCAGCGTGGGGCCTTCTGGATAGTCCATGATACCCAGTGAAGTGAGGACAGTGTGGCAAGGCGAGGCAAGGCAAGGTGAAGGAGTGTCGTAGGGGTGTTGGCGTGAAGTCCTTGAGCTTCCTGGTGGAAACCTTGTGGCAGTAAGTGGAACTTCTTTGCCGAAACCTAGATGTTTCGCCATGGGGACTTGTGCACTGGGACTACACTCTCACCTTCTGGGCTTTTCCCATGGCACCGAGCTCCAATGTCCTGCGATGTGGCTGCACTTCCTGCTCCGTGGCTCGGCTCTGTCTACTCCTGACTGTGGACATGATTGAGCTCGCTGGCCGCCGGTGGTGGAGGCTGCGACTTTGCATGTCCAGGCTTTGAGCAGGTGCTTCGATCGATGATCACTCCCATAAATTCATTCCCTGGAAATCTGAACAAAATGAGTGGGCAATCCCTACAGTCTCCTCATTGAAACTGAAGTCCAGCACATGGCTCCCAAAGGAAAAATAAGGAGAGGTTCATGTTATATTTGCTACCGTGGGCAGCTGCAGCAACTTTGTTCAGTTTGAGGGTGGCAGGCTTCTTGTGGGGAAAGAGCCATTGGGAAGGAGCCTGGGATTCCCTTCCACGTGGGAAGGCTAGGGACAGCATGCCATCTCTGAGCACCTGAGTCTAGCCAGGACTGCTGTTCCCTGCCACAGTTCAGCCTTCTGGTGGGAGAGGAAGCATGAGCCATTGGCGGTACTATGGCCTGCCATTGAGTTCTACAGGCCTCTCCCGCCCCCTGGTCATTGCCTTGTGCCCTCAAGGAAGCAGAAGTCTCTGCGCTCAGGGTCAGAGCAGGAGTCCTGGCCTACGCCAGGCTCCTTGGTAGATGGGATGCAGTTTCGGTTTCTCCTGCTGATCGGGGATAGTAAACGGGCCCCTGTTGGGCTTCCCTGGTGGTGCAGGGGTTAAGAATCTGCTGGCCAATGCAGGGTATACCGGTTCGATCCCTTGTCCGGGAAGATCCCACATGCTTCAGAGCAACTAAGTCATGCATCACAACTACTGAGCCTACGCTCTAGAGCCCGCGAGCCACAACTACTGAGACCACATGCTACAACTACTGAAGCCATGTGCCTAGAGCCCGTGCTCCACAACAAGAGAAGCCGCTGTAATGACAAGTCTGCTTACCACAGTGAAGAGTAGCCCCCACTTGCCACAACTATAGAAAGCCCTCACACAGAACAAAGACCCAATGCAGCCAAAATAAATAAATAAATAATTTTTTTAAAAAATGGGCCACTGTCCCGGACTTGGGCCAAGCTGATAGCTCCTCCTCAAGTTGTGTCCCTCTTGTGTGTTACGTGTGGAGGGGCTGGAAAATGCCTTAGGTAATTACCAGGAAAATCAAGCTTCTCTGGTGAGGGGTGGCTCTGGAACCTTGCGGTGAGATATTTCGATGCTGGCAGAGAGAGAAAGGCAAGGTGAGCAGGAAACACACGTGCGAAGACTGGCTAAGCCTGCAAGTTTTACTGGTGGTAGATAGATTGATGGTGGCCATAGGGTTCCTGGAACTCCTTTGGGATGCCTTCCAGCACATTTGGAGGCATGTGTAGAAAAGGATTAAGGGTGCATGTTCGTGGACCACCCCACCCTTTTCCTTTCCTTTGTTGATTTGCTTCATGGCAGGTCACTGTGCCAGCGAATGGTTGCCTTCCCGGCACAGTATTGTGTCTTCTCATGGGGGCCAATTTGGAGGCCGTGGTGTGTTTTGTCCCTGTCTGGCCACGTTCCCCCTGTGTTGAAGATATGAAGGTGTTCCTCAGGACAGCCCAGCATCGTTTCTATACCCGGCCCACATAGCGTTCCCTGAGGATTGGAGCTCTTCCCGGAGGTCATTGAGCACAACCATGCAGAAACAAGGGAGTCGGCTGCCAAGGAAAGGCTACAGGTTTAAGGGCAGGAGAGGATGTGGAGTGCAGGGATCATTTTATCCTGCCACCCACTGGTGCGGTGAACCTGTGGTCTCCGGCATGCCTGGCCTCAGGTCAGAGAAGTCATGGCTGTTCAAGGGTCCAGGATGTTGGCTGAGTTCTCTTGTTGTACGACTCTTGGTGACACGTTGGTTCTGGAGGACCTGGTGTCATGGTATCTCTGAGGACATGGCACTGACGGGCCCAAATTGTGAAAGTACAAGGCGCCATGGCAAGTTACCCAGGTGCTGCAAAGGTCTTTTGCTGCACCTTTGGGCATCAAATTGGCTCTGATGCCATTTGCTCTCTGTGTGGTCCAAGTGAAGGTCCTCTGGCTTGGCTGGAGACCAGGAAGCATGCCTGCTGCTGTTCACCCTTGTTCAGTCCAGCGGTGCCTCAGTGCCCTTTGTCCTGAGGCCTGAGGAACCCCTTTTGATGGAGGTCATCACTTTCAGTCATGGCCATTCCCTTGTGGAAGATCACAGGGACCCTGTTTCCACTTGATGGCGAGTCAGTTGTGCGGAAGTGTATGTTCCTAGAGCAGGTGTGTTTCCCTAGAGGGCAGTGGCTCTTAGGCTGAGGGAGCCCAGTTCCCCTGAGGGTGTCTCTGGTGTTCAGGATGACATCCTTTTCCTGTGTCGGAGAGAGGAGAGCTCAGGAGAGGAATTGCAGGGCCCGAGAGCAGGGGGTTGTTGGACAGTGGCGCTCTTTGTCCTGATGTCTGCATGCTCTGCAGGCGTCCACATCCCGATGCATTCACATTTGGCTGCTGATACACAGACAAGATGGGCAGCAAATGAAATGTTTAGGCGAGATAGAATGCACATCCCTAGGTGGTATCGCCCTTTCCCTTGGTGTGCCTGTGCACCATCCTCAAGCATACGTGTGTTCTCTCACCCCGAGCCAGGTGGAATGCCAGGGAACGAATGCCAGCAGCAGCCTGGAGCCCTCCATATAATCCGTGATACCCGGCGAAGTGAGGACGATGCAGAAAGGCAAGGTGTGGTGTAGGAGTCTTGGAGGGGTGTTGGCGTGCAGTCCGTAAGGATTCTGGTTTAACCCTTGTGGCGGTAAGCAGCACTTCTTTGCTGAAACCTAGATGTTTGGCCAGGGGAACTTGTGCACTGGGACTACACCCTCACCTCTGGTCTTTTCCTGGGGAACACCAGCTTCGATGCCCTGAGACTTGGTTGCACTACCTGCCCCATGGCTTTGCTCTGGCCACTCCCGAATGCTGACATGATTGAGCTCGCTGGCCGTCCCATGGTGGAGGCTACAACTTTGCATGTTCAGCGTTTGAGCATGTGCCTGGATCGCTGATCACTCCCACAGATGCATTCCTTGGAAATCTGAACAAAATGAGTGAGAAATCCCTACCGTCTCCTCATTGGAACTGAGGTCCAGCACGTGGCTCCCAAAAGGAAAGTAGGGAGAGGTTCACACTGCATTTGCTGACATGGGTGTCCACAGCCTCGTTGTTCAATTTGAGGGTGGTGGTCTTCTTGTGGGGAGAAGAGCAATTGGGAAAGGAGCCTGGGATGCCCATCCAAGTGGGAAGGCTAGGGATAGCATGCCGTCTCTGGGCGCCTTTGTCTAGCCATGACTGCTGTCCCCTACCGTGGTTCAGCATGCAGGAGGGAGAGGAAGTGTGAGCCATTGGTGGGCCTATCACCTGCAATTGAGTTCTACAGGCCTCCCCCACCCCCTGGTCGTTGCCTTGTGCCCTCAAAGAAATAGAAGTCTGTATGCTCAGGGTCAGAGAAGGAGTCCTGGCCTATGCCAGGCTTCTTTGTCATGTTCTGCTTGGGCGACCGGATGCAGTTAAAGTTTCTCCTGATGATCGGGGGAAATCAAGTGGGCCAGTGTCTCTGGGAGTTGGGCCAAGCTGATGGCTCCTCCTTGGGTTGTATCCCTCTTGTTTCTTGTTTATGGAGGGGTTCAAAAATGCCTTAGGCAATTCCTGGTGAAATCAACCTTCTGTGGTGAGGGGTGGCTCTGACACCTTGCCGTGTGGTGTTTGGATCCTGGCCCAGAGAGAAAGCAAGGCGAATGGGAAATACACGTGAGATAGTTGGCTAATCCCACAGGTTTACTGGTGGGTGTGTTGATCGACAGTGGACATAGTCCATTCCTTTGTGATGCTCTCAGGCGCGTTGGAGGCACATGTAAGGAAGAAATACGAGGTGCAATTTTGTGGATCATCCCACCCTTTGCCTCTCCTTTGTCAATTTGCTTCATGACTGGTCCCTGTGCCGTCAAATGTTTGCCTTCGTGGCATAGTATGGTGTCTTCTCATGGGGCCCGATTTGGAGGCCGGGGGGTATTTTGTCCCCTTTTTGCCATGGTCCCCCTGTGTTGAAGATGTGAGAGTGTTCCTCAAGACAGCCCAATGTCTTTTCTGTACCCAGCCTGCATAGCATTCCCTGAGGCTTATAACTCTTCCCGGATGTTATTGGGCGCCTCCATGCAGAAACAAGGGAGTCGGCTGCCAAGGAAAGGCTACAGTAGGTTTAAGGGCAGGAGAGGATGTGTGATACGGGGGTCATTTCGTCCTGCCACCCACTGGTGCAGCGAGCCTGTGTCCTCTGGCATTCCTGGTCTCAGGCCAGAGGAGTCATGCCATTTCAAGAATCCATGCTGTTGTCTCGGTTCTCTCTTTGTGCGGCTGTGGGATATACGTTAGTTCTGGAGGACCAGGGTCTCATGGTTTCTCCGAGGTCATGGCACTGACAGACCCAGAGTGTGAAAGTGCAAAGCACCACGGCAAGTTACCCAGTTGCTGCAAGGGTTTTGTCCCGCAACTTTGGGCATCGGAATGGCTCCTATGCCATTAGCTGTCCGTGTTGTCCAAATGAAGAGACTCTGGCTTGGCTTTAATTTCATATGGAACTGTGCTCGTTAGTTCCCCTTACCTAGCTAAGTGAGCCAGGTCCAAGTGGTTTGTTGACTTTTTATCTTATATCCTTACAGTTTTTCCATTCTTTTTGTAATGTGTCCCAGCAAACTAATTTATTCTAGCTTTGTTAATCATGATTATTTTTTATAGTAAATATTCATCTTTTGTCATTAGCCAGTTTTTTCCTTGAATTTTATTATATGTGTTATATTGTGATAAAGTTGCCATTTTCTTCAGACAGTGTTGTTTTGTTTGTTTTTTTCAGAGACTACGTTTTACATTTTCAAATGGTTTCCATCAAGAATTTTAATAGACCCTGTGTGTTCATAGGGGATAGTGTCTTTTTTGACCTTATTTTGTTATTTATTTGTCCTTATAATGTCATTGTCATAGTCTTCTATTTTTCCTCTTTTTTTTTAATATGGACCGTTTTTAAAGTCTTTATTGAATTTGTTACAATATTGCTTCTGTCTATTTTTTATTTTTCTTGGCCACGAGGCATGTGGGATCCTATGTCCCTAACCAGGGATCGAACCCCCACCCCCTGCATTGGAAGGCAATGTCTTTACCACTGGACTGCCTGGGAAGTCCCTAGATATTTTTTAAATTAATAAACTACAGCTAAATATTTCTCAGTGCTGTGTCAGGTACACCTTCTTTCATTTTTTGCTTTCATATTTTCCTGAAATGTTATTATATAATTGAACTTTTTAGTTTTACATTTTATTTCCAGCTACCTTTTTGATTACAGTGTTTTAACTGTAGAATTTTTTAAATTCTGAATTCATGCTTTTATATGTTTGTCCTACAACTTCTGTATTTTTAACCTTTAGTTGATTAGTATTCTTTTTTAATGAGTTATTTAATATCTAGCAATCTTTTCTTTTTAATCACACAGATTGTTATTAGGATTTGTTTCTTAGATTTTATTTTCTGGTTTTAAAATGATTTTTATCTATTGATCCACACTAATTTCTCTTAATATTTTTCCTGTTTTGTCAGCTCTAATAGTGAACCTATCTGGTGAGATTTTCATATTTATTATATAGGTTAATTTGTATTTCAGTTATTTATTTGTTTATTTACAATTCATATTATTTACTGGAGATTATTTTTTTTTATTTTAAGGTATTTTTTATTTACACTGTAAAATTTGTTCATCAGTATTTTAATATTTTTTCTATAACTGCATTTTTAAGCTTTTGTTTCCTTCATTGATTTTCTGGTCGCATTCTGTTCATGATTATTTTTCTTGTATAGTGTGATTTTTTCATTCCTATTAGGCAGGGTTTTTTTATTTTTATTTTTATTTTACGGTACATGGGCCTCTCACTGTTGTGGCCTCTCCCGTTGCGGAGCACAAGCTCCGGAAGCGCAGGCTCAGCAGCCATGGCTCACGGGCCCAGCCGCTCCACGGCATGTGGGATCTTCCCGGACCGGGGCACGAACCCATGTCCCCTGCATTGGCAGGCAGACTCTCAACCACTGCGCCACCAGGGAAGCCCAGGCAGGGTTTTTTTAAATTGAAGCATAGTTGATAAACAATGTTGTAACTATCTCTGCTGTACAGCAAAGTGACTCTGTTATACACACATACACATTCTTTTTTTATATTCTTTTCCATTATGGTTTATCATAGCATATTGTATATAGTTCCCCATGCTATATATTAGGACCTTGTTGTTTATCCATTCTAAATGTAATTGTTTGTGTCTACGAACCCCAAACTCACAGTCCATCCTTCTTTCTCCTCCCATCCCCCTTGGCAACCACAAGTCTGTTCTCTATGTCTATGAGTCTGTTTCTGTTTTGTAGATAGGTTCATTTGTGCCATAATTTAGATTCTATGTATAAGTGATATCATACTGTATTTGTCTTTCTCTTTCTGACTTACTTCACTTAGTATGATAATGTCTATTTGCATCTCTATTGGGCAGTTTTTCATATTATATTAGGATACCTGATTTCTATTTAATTTTTTATTTTAGTTCCATGATCCCTGTGTTGGTTTATTTCAATGTCTTATCACATTTTTCTAGGGTGTGGTTTCAATTGCAGTCTGATTGTCAGAGCCGATTTGGTGCTGTTTTGATCCCTTGGTTTCTTTGGTTTTGCTGGACATTCACATAGCTCCTACTAGTCCTGTATAAGGTGTTGGAAGGTTTTTTCTAGACTGGGTTACCTAAGGCTCTCACTGGGGTAAGGGAGACTCCAGCATACAGAAATGAATAGTTCCTCTTAATTAAGGCTGCTCAATAACATGGGATGACCTGACCTTTGTCACCCGGTTTTTAGCCTTTTTAGATACAGAAAGAGTTTCTCTCCTCTAGACATCTTCGAGGCTAACTAAATGAGAATACCTGCAGTGTAGGGACTCCTAGGCCAACTGATCAGTGAATGGGTTACAAATCTTTGCTCACTTTTGCTCTATTTTTGTAGTTCAACTTAGAATCAGCACTTGTTTTTTTATGAAAGAACTAATTTTTTTCACCTTGAGAAGTGAAATGATGGAGAATATCATGACTAAATCTGCCATCCAAACCTCACAGTCCAGTGGGAATTCTCACACTGGTAAGTATTTTGTCCTGAGAATACTGACATTAGAGCATTGTAACATTCCAATGATAATAAAACTCTGGCCAAGCTAGTCAACTGTGAGACTAGGTCATTGACTGTGATGATTGGTCTCTGTGATTTAAAACTGCAGGTCATTGTGTCTGAGGGTGTTGGAATCCTGAGTGCTCAGTCTCTGCCACATATCTCACGTTTAATGTTCTTCTACAAATGTACCTGTATTGATGATGACTTCAGAAATGGATCTCAGAGGAGTCTGAATGAAATGACTGACAAAATTACTTCTGTGAGTTGATGTCCAGCACAAGGCACTATACTAGGCAAAAAATGGAGGGAATTCAGTTGATCAAGAAGTATTACCAATAGTGACTATGGTATTTGAAAGTTAACCTGGTTGCATAAATTATAGGAAGTAAATTTTATAATTGTCTATAAACATCTGATTATCTGGTGGCAGAAAATACTGGACAATATTTGCTCTGATGGAGGGTAGAGATTAACACAATTAATATTATTGGAATAACTTCAGAAATATTTCAGGAGAGAAATACATTATTTTATTTAATGTAGGGGTACATTTGTGAACTCTACCATCTTGTGCCTGGCAGACCAATGGACACATTTACTTCTCATCTTTCCACATTTTATTTTATTCCTACATGCAGCATGGATCAAGTACTGTGTTTCATATGAAAGAGAGGTGACATAAAGGACAGGATTCAGAATAAGTCTGCCTTTCCATCCTTAAGGTCCATTCTCAAACTGGTAAGCATTTTGTCCTGGAAATACTGACATTTCTCGTAGGGGTAATGTAATATTTCAATAACAGTAAGTCTTTGACTATGCTAGTCAGCCTTGGAGCCTTGGGAAGTATATGTAATATATGGCCTCTATGACTGAATATGATAGGTCAGTGAGTCCATGGGTGATGAACTCCTGAGTGCTTGGTCTGTTTCTTAACTGAGCCTCAAAGTAACCCTTTTAATAATGTCATTGGATTGATGATGACTGTAATTATTGATCTCAGAAAATCTGAACAAAATGCGTGACCTAATCAGTTCTGGGAAACTGAGGTCCAGCACAGATACCCACCCTGTGCAAAATATGTGGAAGGAGTGTTGAGTTTGTTCAGCTGTGAGGTACCAACAGGAACTGTTGTATTTGAAAGCTCACCAATGTGCATGTGTTCGATAAACTGAATTAGGCAGAGGTCTGTACTTCTACAGTGTTGGGATAATAGTGAAACTCTCTGAGTGCTCACCTGGCAGCATTATTTACATACTTAGTAAACAGACTCTAGAGAACCAGCACATGAGTGCGGAAAATGTGGGTATGTTTATGCTTATACATGTTTGTCTGAGCTGCTGGAATCTTCTGAGTAACAGTCTCTTTAGGGCAGTTAGATGGTCAAAACTCAAAGAGATCACAGGTTTCATGGGTTTTTATTCTTCATTTCTACATTAAGTGAAACAGTTACATGGAAGTTGAAGCATAGGTACTATATTTTGGAATGTCTTCACAATACATTTTAATCTGCTTGCCAACCCAGTCTTAAGTTTTCAACGGTTGTTTAGTTGTGTCTCTTTTTCCTCCTATCATGTGAAGAACAACTTTCATATACATTTGATTGCTGGATTCAATTATAATAATAATATATATTATAATATATAATAATAAACATTTTTAGATGTGAAATCATGTTTAAAATTCTTGCATTTTTATATGGATTTCATGACTTCTGCCCTCAGTGTGTTTCAAATGTGTATAAGAGAGATCCTGCTTGTAATGCATGGTTCTGAGGCGTGTGCTCTGGGGAACTCTGAAATTAATGTCTTATTAAAAAAATTAATCTGTATATTACCATGTTCCAAATAGTCAGTGTAACTCTTCTGGTGATATCAGTTGTATAGTGACTAACTATGGTGAATGTTATGTAAGCTTTTACCATTTAACATTATACTAAGATTTTCTTTCTCAACCTCCATAATTTTTGCTTGTGCTTTGTAGATTGGAAGCAATGTTGAATGGAAGGTACATTTTATTGCTTGGAATTCTCACCACTACACCAAGGAACTGCTGTTTTTGTAACAGCCTTCTCACCTGGGAATGGCAAAAACAATGTATTCCAGAGATAACAACCCAATTTTCAATAAGTTTTTTGCAGGATTATTTTTATTATTGTGTTTAAGAAGTCAGGAATTCACATGTTTTTTTAAAGACTGTTAATTCAAATACTGTGAGACATTAATAATATGGTGAATTATTCATGTTTTCTGTCTCCTTTATTTCTATAACTTTTGCTCTTTCTTTGTTTGGAATATTATTTTTAAATATCTAAGTAAAGAAATAAATTAATACAGTTAAATGCAGGTACACAGCGAACCATTCCATCTTTTTTTTTATATTTAAAATATCTTTTTAAAATTTTACTTTTAAGTTGTGGTCAAATACATATAAAATTTACCATCTTAATCATTTCTAAGGTTAAAGTTCAGTGGCATTAAGTATATTCACATTATTGTGCAAACCTCACCACCATCCACCTCCAGAACTTTTTTCATCTTGCAAGACTGAAACTCTGTACCCATTAAACAAAAGCTCCCATTCTCCCGTCCCTGCAGCCCCTGGTAACTGCCATTCTACTTCCTGTCTCTATCAATTTGGCTACTCTAGGTACCTCATATAAGTGAAATGATACAATACCCTTTTGTTTCTGACTTATTTCACTTAGCATGAGTTCTTCAAGGTTCATTCATGTTGTAGCATGTGTCAGAATTTCCTTTCTGTTTAAGGCTGAATAATATTCTAGAATATACCATACTTTGTTTACCCATTGGTCTGTCAATAGATATTTGGGTTGCTTCCGTCTTTGGCTTTTGTGCATAATGCTATGAACATGAATGTACAAATATCTCTTTGAGACCCTTCTTTGAATTCTTTTGTGTATGTACCAAGATGATACATAGTGATGGTAGGGTAGTTCTCTTTTTAATTTTCTGAAGAAACACCATACTATTTTCCATAGTGGCTGCACCATTTTACATTTCCACCAATAGTGCGCAAGGGTTCCAATTCCTCTACGTCTTTATCAACACATTATTTTCTGCTTTTTTTGATAGTAACCCTCCTAGTTGACATGAGATGGTATTTCATTGTGGTTTTGATTTGCATTTCTCTAATGATTAATGATGTTGAACATCTTTTCATGCACGTATTGGTCATTGGTATATCTTCTTTGGAGAATGTCTATTCAAGTCCTTTGACCATTTTAAATCAGGTTGCTTTTTTTGTTGTTTTTGAGTTATATGAGTTAAATAACTAATATATTTTGGATATTAGTCCTTATCAGATACATAATTTGCAATTATTTTCTCCCTTTTCACTCGGTTGATTGTGTCTTTTTTTTTATCTTTATTGGAGTATAATTGCTTTACAATGGTGCGTTAGTTTCTGCTTTATAACAAAGTGAATCAGTTATACATATGCATATGTTCCCATATCTCTTCCCTCTAGCGTCTTCCTCCCTCCCACCCTCCCTTTCCCACCCCTCTAGGTGGTCACAAAGCACCGAGCTGACCTCCCTGTATTACGTGGCTGCTTCCCACTAGCTATCTACCTTATATTTGGTAGTGTATGTATGTCCATGCCTTTCTCTATCACTTTCTCACAGCTTACTCTTTCCCCTCCCCATATCCTCAAGTCCATTCTCTAGCAGGTCTCTGTCTTTCTTCCTGTCTTACCCCTAGTTTTTTCATGACAGTTTTTTTTTTCTTAAATTCCGTATATATGTGTTAGTATACGGTATTTGTCTTTCTCTTTCTGACTTACTTCACTATGTATGACAGACTCTAGGTCCATCCAGCTCATTACAAATAGCTCAATTTCGTTTCTTTCTATAACTGAGTAATATTCCATTGTATATATGTGCCACATGTTCTTTATCCATTCATCCGATGATGGACACTTAGGTTGTTTCCATCTCCTGGCTATTGTAAATAGAGCTGCAATGAATATTTTGGTACATGACTCTTTTTGAATTATGGTTTTCTCAGGGTATATGCCCAGTAGTGGGATTGCTGGGTCATATGGTAGTTCTATTTGTAGTTTTTTAAGGAACCTCCATACTGTTCTCCATAGTGGCTGAACCAATTCACATCCCCACCAGCAGTGCAAGAGTGATCCCTTTTCTCCACACCCTCTCCAGCATTTATTGTTTCTAGATTTTTTGATGATGGCCATTCTGACTGGTGTGAGATGATATCTCATTGTAGTTTTGATTTGCATTTCTCTAATGATTAATGATGTTGAGCATTTTTTCATGTGTTTGTTGGCAGTCTGTATATCTTCTTTGGAGAAATGTCTATTTAGGTCTTCTGCCCATTTTTGGATTGTGTTGTTTGTTTTTTCGTTATTGAGCTGCTTGTAAATTTTGGAAATTAATCCTTTGTCAGTTGCTTCATTTGCAAATATTTTCTCCCATTCTGAGGGTTGTCTTTTGGTCTTGTTTATGGTTTCCTTTGCTGTGCAAAAGCTTTGAAGTTTCATTAGGTCCCATTTGTTTATTTTTGTCTTTATTTCCATTTCTCTAGGAGGTGGGTCAGAAAGGATCTTGCTGTGATTTATGTCATAGGGTGTTCTGCCTATGTTTTCCTCTAAGAGTTTGATAGTTTCTGGCCTTACATTTAGGTCTTTAATCCATTTTGAGCTAATTTTTGTGTATGGTGTTAGGGAATGATCAGATTTCATACTTTTACATGTACCTGTCCAGTTTTCCCAGCACCACTTATTGAAGAGGCTGTCCTTTCTCCACTGTACATTCCTGCCACCTTTACAAAGATAAGGTGTCCATATGTGCATGGGTTTATCTCTGGGCTTTCTATCCTGTTCCATTGATCTTTCTGTTTTTGTGTCAGTGCCATACTGTCTTGATTACTATAGCTTTGTAGTATAGTCTGAAGTCAGGGAGCCTGATTCCTCCAGCTCCGTATTTCGTTCTCAAGATTGCTTTGGCTATTTGGAGTCTTTTGTGTTTCCATACAAATTGTGAGATTTTTTCTTCTAGTTCTGTGAAAAATGCCAGTGGTAGTTTGATAGGGATTGTATTGAATCTATAGATTGCTTTGGGTAGTAGAGTTATTTTCACAGTGTTGATTCTTCCAATCCAAGAACATGGTATATCTCTCCATCTATTTGTATCATCTTTAATTTCTTTCATCAGTGTCTTAAAATTTTCTGCATACAGGTCTTTTGTCTCCTTTGGTAGGTTTATTCCTAGATATTTTATTCTTTTTGTTGCAATGATAAATGGGAGTATTTTCTTGATTTCACTTTCAGGTTTTTCATCATTAGTGTATAGGAATGCCAGAGATTTCTGTGCATTAATTTTGTATCCTGCTACTTTACCAAATTCATTGATTAGCTCTGGTAGTTTTCTGGTAGCATCTTTAGGATTCTCTATGTATAGTATCATGTGATCTGCAAACAGTGACAGCTTTACTTCTTCTTTTCTGATTTGGATTCCTTTTATTTCCTTTTCTTCTCTGATTGCTGTGGCCAAATCTTCCAAAACTATGTTGAATAAGAGTGGTGAGAGTGGGCAACCTTGTCTTGTTCCTGATCTTAATGGAAATGCTTTCAGATTTTCACCATTGAGGATGATGTTGGCTGTGGGCTTGTCATATATGGCCTTTATTATGTTGAGGAAAGTTCCCTGTAGGAAAACCCCTGCAGGGTTTTTATCATAAATGGGTGTTGAATTTTGTCAAAAGCTTTCTCTGCATCTATTGATATGATCATATGGTTTTTCTCCTTCAATTTGTTAATATGGTTTATCACATTGATGGATTTGCATATATTGAAGAATCCTTGCATTCCTGGAATAAACCCCACTTGATCATGGTGTATGATCCTTTTAATGTGCTGTTGGATTCTGTTTGCTAGTATTTTGTTGAGGACTTTTGCATCTATGTTCATCAGTGATATTGGCCTGTAGTTTTCTTTCTTTGTGACATCCTTGTCTGGTGCTGGTATCAAGGCGATGGTGGCCTCGTAGAATGAGTTTGGGAGTGTTCCCCCCTCTGCTATATTTTGGAAGAGTTTGAGAAGGATAGGTGTTAGCTCTTCTCTAAATGTTTGACAGAATTTGCCTGTGAAGCCATCTGGTCCTGGGCTTTTCTTTGTTGGAAGATTTTTAATCACAGTTTCAATTTCAGTGCTTGTGATTGGTCTGTTCATATTTTCTATTTCTTCCTGATTCAGTCTTGGCAGGTTGTGTATTTCTAAGAATTTGTCCAGTTCTTCCAGGTTGTCCATTTTATTGGCATAGAGTTTCTTGTAGTAATCTCTCATGATCGTTTGTATTTCTGCAGTGTCAGTTGTTACTTCTCCTTTTTCATTTCTAATTGTATTGATTTGAGTCTTCTCCCTATTTATCTGCATGAGTCTGACTAATGGTTTATCAATTTTATTTATCTTCTCAAAGAACTAGCTTTTAGTTTTATTGATCTTTGCTATCGTTTCCTTCATTTCTTTTTCATTTATTTCTGATCTGATTTTTATGATTTCTTTCCTTATGCTAACTTTGGGGTTTTTCTGTTCTTCTTTCTCTAATTGCTTGAGGTGCAAGTTTAGGTTGTTTATTCGAGATGTTTCCTGTTTCTTAAGGTAGGATTGAATTTCTATAAACTTCCCTCTTAGAAGTGCTTTTGCTGCATCTCATAGGTTTGGGTCATCGTGTCTCCATTGTCATTTGTTTCTGGGTATTTTTTAATTTCCTCTTTGATTTCTTCAGTGATCACTTCGTTATTAAGTAGTGTATTGTTTAGCCTCCATGTGTTTTTATTTTTTACGTATCTTTTCCTGTAATTGATATGTAGTCTCATAGCGTTTTGGTCAGAAAAGATACTTGATACAATTTCAATTTTCTTAAATTTACCAAGGCTTGATTTGTGACCCAGGATATGATCTATCCTGGAGAATGTTCCATGAGCACTTGAGAAAAATGTGTATTTTGTTGTTCTTGGATGGAATGTCCTATAAATATAAATTAAGTCCATCTTGTTTAATGTATCATTTAAAGCTTGTGTTTCCCTATTTATTTTCATTTTGGATGATCTGTCCATTGGTGA